AAAAGCAATGTATTAATAGATTTTTTTATATTAAACTTGAAACTAATAAAAAAAACTTTACCTTGATATGAAGTTTTTCTTGTTTAACGATAGCATGAATATTTGCAAGATGTTGGATAGCATTGCTAGTACTGCTGAAAGCGGTGTATGTTTTTTGACATGGTTTACCATTCGCAAGATTAAGGGAACAAACCATGATTTTACCAGGTCCATTAGGATTATTTTTTTCGATAAAATATTTCCAAATAAAACTTTTTTTTTCAGAACTGCTGGGACAGTGACGTTTTCTTGAGCTTCGAAAGCCCTCATAAGTATCAGTAGTAGTGGTAGCATCAGTAGTGGTGATAGCATTAGTAATGGTAGCAACCGTATTACTGTTGCTACTTACGTGACTTTCTTGGTTCCACTGAGTGTTGTCAAAAGTATTGTTCATTACAACACGTCATGATAGAATAAAAGATCAACCTTATTATTAGTTAAAAATGGTTATAGTAGTTATATATATCGATATGTATCTCGTTTCTAAAAAAAATATTACATACATTCTGCTCTTCTTCTTAAACCATATTCTATTAATCAACATGTCTTGTCAAAATTTAATTATTTTTACTTGAAATGCAACTCCATAATTGAAAATTTGAAGGGATAGGATATGAAAATGGAAAAGATATGAAAAGAGATAGGTAAACAACGAAACTTATCCTGATAGTTGATTATAAACACTCGCACTCTTTAAGTTCACAATTATATTCTGGTAATCAGTCCTATACTAACATGTATACTTTTACCAGCAAAATATTTGCTTGATATAAAGTGCTTAGTGACACTCATTAAACACAATACATAATACTAACATTCCCTTCTATATAAGGTTGCTTGCCGAAATCCCTTAGTGACTGTCTAAATTTTGTCGAAATTATAATAAACTATTAGTAAATAACCCGTCAAAATTCTGACGAATTTTGAAACCCGTCGTAACCGAAATTATGTCGAAATTCTAATTAACAATTAGTGTGTAACCCGTCAAAATTATGACGATATTTTTCTGAAAGGATTTAGGCAAGCATCCTTACTTCTATACTCGTTCAGTTAGTGTGAATTAAATTGTGCAGAAGCATTCTCATGTTGCTTAAACTTGCCAAGAAACAATGTTAGTCAGAACATGAAGCTGGTCATGACTTTCCATTCTTAATAGTTGCAGAGTCTGGAACACCTTTTAAACGCAATTGATTGTCAGTAATAAGTGCATGCGTATTTTTTTGTTTGTCAAGTTTTTCTGATATAGTTCTTGTTAATGAATTCATCACTAAATTCGTTATAAATAAATTAATATTATAATTGAGTAAAATTAAGAGCAGTTGACCACAATGTTAATCCATAAGGAAGCTCTTTTTTCTATCAAGGATCCATCAGACTCGTTTTAGCTTAGTGAAATACCCAAACTAATCCACTCATACCTTACAAATGGAAAGCATGCATTATTAAAATATACATTACCCATTACTCTTACAAAGTCTGATTGCTTCCTGAGGGTAACTCGTGTGACTATTATACCATTAAACTACTAACAACAAACTAGAAACAGCATCAACACCCAAAAAATCCTACATTGTAAAGAAACGTTAACGGCGATACCTATAAAACTAATAATCTCAGACAGCAACGTAGAAATGAATGCGAATGGGAGAGATTCGCAACAAGTATATAATGATATTACCATAAAGCGGCTAGAAATTATGACTGATAACCAGTTAAACACAGCAAATTAGAAAAATAATAGCTATGGAATGCACAAACAAAAATGTAACTTACTGTACTGTGACAAAATCA